GGTGTGCTGTGTGGTGTATGGTGTGCAGTGTGGTGTCTGGTGTGCTGTGTGGTGTATGATGTGCAGTGTGGTGTATGGTGTGCTGTGTGGTGTATGATGTGCAGTGTGGTGTATGGTGTGCTGTGTGGTGTACGGTGTGCTGTGTGGTGTCTGGTGTGCTGTGTGGATTGTGATGCACAGTATGGAGTATTGTGTGATGTAGCTTCAGATAGTCACAGTAAAGTGCTATGTAATTCATCAACTCTTCTTTAGAGAGACAAATTAAGTTTGTTTCATTGCCTTCAGTACAGTAAACTGTACTAACTAAACCCACTGACTGTGATGTGCTAATTTAAAAAAACACCATCAGTACACCTGTTGTGATCAGCCGTGTTAATTAACATTTGCAGGGAGAATCTATAACCCTATAATTCAACCTTTTACTTATCCCTAAATGTATAAACGGTGTTTCTACGGTAAACATGCCCAAATTTCTGTCAGCAAAGTATCTACCGTCGATCGACTGTTTACCAGACAGGGAAGTTATTCCATAGAAACCTTCAACTGGAATTGAACATGATTGGAATATTGTATGTATATTCAAGTCATCCTTACATGTGTTGCAAAGTTATGGCTTTTATTGCCAAGGAACCCACGTAGGTTACGATAGCTAAGAAGTCCTTGACATTTAGGAATCGTTCCTATAGGATATTTGTGTTCAGCATGTACATTTGTGTGGACGCAGTCGCTGAAGAAAGAACGCGAAGATTTGAAATTTTCCATCAAAATTATCTGTGAAGCATCGTTGGAAGAGGAAAAATTCATTTGGACATGACATAAAACAACAGACTTTGAATGCTGCATTCTATTGACTCAATAATGTTTAGGCATTAATAAGAATCTGAATAGACAGAATCAGATAAAATTAGTAGATATGCCTGAATTTCATTCAGCTGAATACATTTTATTGTTGTCTTCCATGAATTTTAAGATTAGACGTACGCTGGCGTCGCTCAGACAAGTTTTAAGTTTTCCGCCAACTTGCGGCCGTCACTCGCGCGGCTACTTCCCGCGATAGGCAATTATTCGGTGAAATCTTTACTATCATCCTCCACCCTATCCTCCTGTACTACCCTCCACCCCCTCTCTATGTACTATCCTCTTCCTTCAAACTATCCTTTTCCTCCCTCTGTACTATCCTCCTCCCTCTGGACTATCCCTTTCCTCCCCCTGGTCCAACCCTCTCCTCGCCCCTGGACTATGATCTCCCGGTGAACTATCCTCTTGCCCTAGACTATCCCTCTCCTCCAATGATCTATCCTTCTCTCAATAGCGCATCCTGATCTTCCCGCTGGTCTATTTTCCCTTCATTAATTTTTCGTCACTTATCCCTGTCTATTATTTTAGCCCTTTTCTTTGGCCTGTTATCCTCTTTCCTATTTTATCCTCCTCATTATCCCTATTTTATCCTTCTCACCCTCCCACCCACACGCAGCTCCTTATTTAGCGCCGACGCCTCGGCAAATTGGCGCCTGCGCGGCGCCTTTGAAGTCCTTTTTACGGCAGCTTATTCGATTGCTCGCTAATTTTTGAGTCATCCCGATTTGCGATGTGCCATCTCAGGCGGGGTGAGGGTAGGTGGGGTGAGGGTAGGTGGGGTGAGGGTAGGTGGGGTGAGGGTAGGTGGGGTGAGGGTAGGTGAGGTGAGGGTAGGTGAGGCGAGGGTAGGTGGGGTGAGGGTAGGTGCTGTCTCTTATACACATCTAGATGTGTATAAGAGACAGGTTTTCTACTGTGAGCCTTTTTTTCTAGCAACCAATGCAACCAACTCTCAATAAAGCATGT